AACATTTGTTTATCTGTGTGGCTGAGGAGACCGACCTTCTGATTTGCCTAAAGAAGAACTGATTGACTTGACACGCCAAACCTCTATATTGATAGATAATAGATAGATAGATAGAGAGAGGTATATGGTATATATATATGTAGAGGTTTGACTACTCCATATATATAAACGACTGTGAATATATGAAGGTCATATATTTGAACTGCGGATAAAGGCGTGAATATGAAAGTGACCCTCGCAGTAATGAACAGTACTTAAGCAGTGGTGAAAATAAGGCCTGAAAAAAAAATTCAGGCCTGTACGGGATTTGAACCCATGACCTCTGCGATACCGGTGCAGCGCTCTACCAGCTGAGCTGACAAGAAACCTTTGTCCAAGATCTGCCTTAACTTGTATGAGATTCGTAACTCAGACCATTTCCATAGACATTCACATGGAGGCAATCTCCCTCTACTCATTAATCGCTCACGGGTACTTTCGTGCCCTTTCAGTGGGTCGTATGAAATGGAAGTCGTTGATTGGTTCTCAGGCATCTTTACAGCCGGAATGTAACAAGAAAGGGTTTAATGCCCGGGGTTCTTCGTCTCATTCTGAACAAGCATTGGCTTTCCAGGCAATGAAAACGGTCACTGCTACACTTGGGATTCCAGACTCGGGTTTGGCACGGTTTCATGTGGAAACGTGGCCAGACACAGGGCTGATAATGGAGACATAGCTATCCAGGCAATGGGGTATATTTTGCTACAGTGACAGAAAGACGAAACCTCTTGACTGAACTCAAGAGCGATATGATTTCGGAAATATATATCTACTAAAAGATGTGCCATGAACTCCTGCCTCTGTAAATCCACAAAAAAATAGAACAGAATCACCAATCTTCAGTAAATATGTGCGACTGAAAAGTCTTTTCCTTACTCTGCATTTCCTAAACATATGTGCGAAGTCTCACAAGCAAGCCAGAGACTACATTCAACTGACTGCAATTATTGCTACGTTTCAAACATGTCAATGAAGATGTTACTAGTTCTGCTCTTTCTTTGAAGCACTGATTTCGTCCATATCTCCAATAGGTCGAATTCTGGCCTAAGCATTCCTGCTCCTGTGTAGAGTGAGACAGTCAAATAGGAAAGTGCCTTGCATAAGTACAAAGTTTACCCCAGACAAGGATCGAAACCAGAACTTAACCAGAATCAGGCATCTTCCCTCTCCCCTTCATTCCCCCTCCCCCCCTCCCCCCCTCACCCGAACTTGATACTCTTACACCCAGGTGTTCTTTCAGAGGCGAGTTCGTCTGTTTTGAATTTTTGTATGTTACTCCAATAGTAAAACAAACAGTTGTGTGCTTGGTTGCCAAGCCTTTGAGTAAGAGTGAATGAGGTCGACCTCGTTATGATACAAACTCTGCTCACTTTTCAAATGCAAATTACTTCGTTATCATGCTAACTAGATACTGGTCTCTATCACAACAAGGCTACCTTCAGCCTCAATCCAAATCAAAGGCTTGGCAACGAGGTACACAACTGTAAAATGGCTCTTTGCTAGATCTACGTTTATAGAGTTCATTACCAAATAAGAGCAAAGCTGACTCATTTTAAAATGCCGTCCACGCTATGAATGGAGAAGAAAATCCTTAATTTCCCAGACTTTATTTAAACGCCCTGAAAGTCTATATAGTGTTTTTAACCTAGTATTTTGATGATATTCCTTCATTAAAATTTCCAAGGCTTTAAATATGCATGTTGTTTTGGCGAAAGATTAAGAAAAACAGTGTGCGTATTTTCTTTCCTAGTTAAAATTTCGGCAACCGACTGACATCTTTAAAGACAAAGCTTTTAATTACAGAGACTAAGATGTTATAATTTTACGACACCTTTTAGCAAATTACTTTAGGAAACAATGAACCAAAACGAAAGAGTCCTGGAGAGATTATTTTTAGCTTTTAATTAGAACTGACAAAAACCAAATCCTTCTCCAGCAAAACATTTCTTCTCAAATGAAACAGATTCTTATACAAAACATGGAAATATTTCTAAAGTACCGTCAATGCCAAGGTAGGTATCAAAAATCTAGTTTATTCCTGTAACCAAAAAAGACATTTTAAGTAGTAGGTGTAGTTTGGATTGAAAATGCAGGTTGTCGCGGCTTAAGTCCAGTCCCACAAAAAAAAAATTTTAATTTGGGTTGATGATCAACTGATCTTAACACTTTTTTCTTAAAAGTCCATCACTGAATTAACAGCACTAAATCTTAACGGGTATTGCTTTGAGCGTGGTCTAAAACATAGCCTTTGCAGGGAAGGTTGTTGGCGCCGAACCCTTGGTTTATTCAAATTTATGTTCAGGTACACTTGTTTCGCGAAACCTCTCAACATCCTAGCCTGTAAGTTTTGATTTCCAGTTTTTTTTTTATCTCGGCTGGAGGGATTAGCCATGTTAGTTTGTGGCTAGTTATTCAAGTTCGGATCAGGCTAACTCATAAATAGAAAGGAAAACAACCAAACATCGAATAAAGCTGAGAAAGACCGTAGATTCAAATATTTCGATCACAAATTTGATTTATTATAGTTTCCATTTAGGGAATGAAGCAAGCCATAACATTTGTTTCCTAGGAAAATTGAAGTAAAACTAGAAAGTACTGCATTCAATCCAAACTGCATGATAAACATAAACATGCATGTAAACAAAGACGCAATTTACATAAGATTTCCTTAGAATTTTTTCCTCATTTCTGAGGAAATGATCCAAAATTGGTCAGTTTCTTCGTTTACCTAGTTGTGTGGTTGTTGATGGTCCTGTTTGACATTTTTGATATTTTGAAATGTGTGCTTGCTGTAAAAGTAAATTAAAAACAAAAATACCAGGAGTAACGTGAGGGATCAAACTATGCAAATGAATTGTGGCAGTATCCATGGTAATGATATTGACAGCTGTACGTAAGTCAAATAAAAACCGAGTAAGTGATTTATTGAATTTGAAAAGAAGTGAAAAGATGCTTGTCAGCTGAAATTGATAAGATTTAGGTCAATAATTAACAATTACTTACTGACACTTAGGTGCATATTTGTTTTAGTATATACTCTTTTATTTCTGTTAGTATACCGAAAATGGTCGCAAATTAAACTCTTAATTAAAGAGCGATAGCGTCCATTCGGCTGCTCGAAGGTGAATAGGACTTGATAATCAATACCGGAGAAGCCGATCACCGCGTGCGAAGAGCACTTTTCATCGTGTGGTATATAGTAATACCAGTTCTGACAAAATCTAACTCAATCTATTCAGGACTGCAATCACCCTTCATATTTCATTAAGGCGGCCTCGCACAGTCATAAATACTCATAAATCACTGCTCATACTTTGATCAATTATATCGCCCTCTACCATCTACTTGCGGCGTCGTTGCAGAATATTAACAGGTCAACATAGATTTGAGTTAACATGTAATGTCAGTTCATTTTAGGGTCACTAAAATGTATCCAAGATGGACACCTATTTTTTGAACAGAGCCAAGTAAACTTCAGGAACTGTCAGTTAATAAGATTTAGCCATCAAACGATTATACTGAGAAAATGAAAACTTTGTTCTTGTCAACTGTTTGTGCGCTGGTCGTTGTTCTTCTTGCTCGGGATAATTGGTCTCATTACGGTGCAGTTGCGACCCACGGTAAGAAAACTCCGTTTTAACACTATAACGCTAATTTCTACAAAGTTTTTTTTTTTCAAAATTTAAATAATCTCCTTTTGGACTGATTATCCACAAAAACGTGCAAAAAAAGGTCTAACATTCCAGCTACACGTATTGTAAGATCCACAGCATTGACCACACCAGTGTGGTTCAAATGTGAAAAAAAAAAAGGCTTGTTAGAAAAATGTTCCAATCACGGCTCCAAACATAACATCCTGTCAGGAAGTACTCTCAAATAAAAAAACAAACAAACAAACAAACAAGTAAAGAAAAAAAAAAAGAAGCAAAACAAGCAAAAAGAGGAGACACTGAAAAGAATGCAATAGCTCCTCGGCATACACCAGCATTTTCCACAAAATTCCATAAATTGGAGATATAAAGCTAGACTTCTCTAGATTCCTAAACAAGAAAACGCCTTGAGAGTATCTCCATTCCTTTTGTAATTGTGAATGCACATGATACTAAAAAGAAAGTGTAACTCGAGACATATGTACATACTTTTCAATGAGCAATTTTCGTTATCATGCCTTTCAGACGTGTGCGGACGTCATGTGAAATATACTGCTGTCATTAGGGGCTATGCTCTTTATGGTCACGTGATTCAGAACCTTACGCTTCCGGTTGATATACAAGACCCCTGCAGGACTCAGTGTGTTATGGAAAGTCGCTGCGTAGCAATCAATATTGGTCCACACTTCGGCGATCACATAATATGTGAACTAAGTGATTCAGACGGAACTGAATACCCCCAAGATCTCAAGCCTCGCAATGATTTTATTTACATTGGTACTGAGGTAAGAGTGTGGATAAAACAAATTGAATTTTTTTTTTTTTTCAAGAACGAATTTTTTTGTTTCTCCAATAAGAACCGATGCAGTAATAACCCATGCCTTAACAATGGGACTTGCCTTAATGGGTATACCAAGAAAGGCTACATTTGTCTCTGTGGATCTCTCTACAGTGGAGAAAACTGTGAAACAGGTAACACATACATTTTATGTTGGATATACCAGAAATATAAGATTATTCAGTACAGTCGAATGTACCAAATTTCTTTAATTTGTTTGAAATGAGTGGCTGAATAGCTTGTTGAGCGACCGAACAATGATTGAATGATAGTCGTTTCAAGACGTTACGTCACATTACGTCACATCACCTTTGTTACATTACGTAATGTTATTTTATATTACGTTGCGTCGTTTGATTTGGGTTTGTTTTGTTTTGTTTTGTTTCTCTTGCTTGCTTGCTTTTTTGTGTGTTTTACTTTTTGTTTTGGTTTTATTTTTGTTAAAAAAATAACAATGAAAATGAAAATAAAACATGTCACTCACATGCTGTGAGGAATTTTACATAGCTGAACATCTTGTGGAGTGCAACTCCAGCGAATGGACGCTGATAATAAAGATGGACGGTAATAAGGTACAAACTTGCTTTCAAATGTTTATTTTTCGTCTATTTATCTAGCTGTCAATGAATGATATCCGTTCAAATATTCATTCTCACGTATCCATTCATTTATCTACTACTGTCAATGATTGATGGTCATTCAAATATTCATTCTTATGTATCCATCCATTTATCTACACGTAATAAGTTGAGTATCTCTTATCACTTTATTTCTTTTGCGAAGAAAATAATCTGAGAAATTGCTTATCATTGTGTCCCCATCTTTCCTCATATTTTGGCTCAGAAATATACAATGTTCCTTTCGTCGTTTTCGACACCCTAAGTCAGAAGGATCTCAATATATTCGCGAAGTATGCTGTTTTAAAACAGCAGAGAAAAGGATTTTAGATTCAGATAAAAATACACATGTTACACATGTTTATGATTATATCAAATCGTGAAATAATAAACTCAAACATTCAGTAAAATTGATTTCTTGCTTTTTGATTTAAGTGATCAGCGATGAAGGTTGTTCTTTCCATCAAGATATGCGAAAAACTAACCTATTTGAGGAAAACTGATTTTATTTCCCCGTCTTTTTCTTGTTTTAAGTTCTAAAAAAGTCAAAGGATGTTAGTTAGTTGATAAAAGACTTACTAATTTGGATATGTTGTGAGCCGTATTCTGAGTTGAAGTGATATTAACTACCGTTCATTTGTTTTTCCTGGATGCTATGGCCCTAGGACACTTTTTCCTATGATTCCGTTCTGTGGACCAATAAGGATACTTTTAACCTTCCCGGAGGAAAAACTGGGCTCGACACACAAGAAACTAAACTACCAACTTACTGGGAGAAAGCTTTCTCTAAGATCTGCCTTGGTATGAGGATCGGAAGTCACACCAATTTTATAGTCATTCACATGGAGGCACCTTCCCTTTATTCACTAATCGCTGACGGGCAGTATCGTGCCATTTCACTTGGTCGTGATAAATGGAAGTCGTTGATTGGTGCAGACGCATCCCTGCAGCTTAACTGCAACAAAGAGGGCTTCAACTCACAGGGCTATCCCAGTAACTCGAAAGCAAGGATTGGTATTATTGGTAACGAGCAATCTGATTGTGGAAGCACTGATTCCAGAATCGGTTTTGGTACAGGAGGCAAGCCTGGCAAATCAATCACGTGTGGCAATGTGGCTAGTTATGGACCAGATAATGGAAACAGATATATTAAGGCAATGGGATATATCATGGTACAGTGACAAGGAAACTGGTACAATAAATACTTTAAAAATTTCTTATTTCTCACTACAGCTACAAATCGTCTCTTGAAGACCGCTTTTGTGGCAAAATTGTTTCAACACAAAGTAATCACCGATGAAAAGCAAAGGTGAGAGGGAGAACTGCATAAATGCATTCCCCACATAATTTAAAATGGAAAAAAAATGATAACAAGTAGGAATGGTATGATCATCCATCTCAAGAGCTCGTTATTTCCCCCATATTTACAAAGGTTGCGTAAGTGTACAAACCATGTTGGATTGTTTGAACAGCGGCAGTTACTCATAAAGAAATAGCTCACTTGTTTGTACCCAATTCCTGTTAATTTCAATGAGTTGTCCACACGTTTTTTCTCAAGTAAAACAATACAGACTACCATGCATTTTTAATTGGATATTTGATGTTTACGCTAAATGCCAATAACATGAGCAAATTATGATTTTTCCCAAAATCGTTAGACCAACCCTGTAAAAAGTAATAAAAATGATAATGATAATAGCGATAATAGTAATGATAGTAATAATTATGATGATAATACTAATAACATCAATAATGATAATACATGTCATTAACATGATAATAGTAATGATGATAATGTCTGCAAATAAAAAAAGACGCCTAAAAGTAGCAGGCAATACATTTGATTTTTACTTTTTTTGTTTGTTTTTGTTGTTGTTGTTGTTACTGACGTTATTATCATCATTCACGTACAATGCCTGACTGAGGTAAATGGACAAAATTCTACGATTATCAGGTTTCTTATCATCAACAAAACAACCCTATATAAAAACCGATCAATTTAAGAATTACTGGGTCCTTCTCTTGTGATTTGCCCAGTTTTTAAGAAAACTCACAACGAGCGCTATTGACAGACATCAAATGAATTATCCCTGTGCGAGTCAATAAACACATTATCTTCAGGAATTGCATAATCAGCTTTGCCAGCCGCATCGTGAGACATGCTGCTCGCCGCCTGTTGTTTAGTGTGTCATTTTAACGTATGCGTGTTTCAACCTTAGTACACTGTTTTCCCATTGTGGGTCACATGTGGCAAATGTTTCATTACGTTTAGCACTGATTGCGTGGATTTCCAAAAAAACAATTGTCTGTTCTACCTGAGAATACTTGCTATTCTATTGGCGTTTTTCTCCGCAAGTGTAATGATTTTCAAAACAAAGGTAATAATAGACAAATATTTGAATGAAAGCTTTTGTGACTTCTTGGTTACCACATATTGAGCAAAGCAAACAAATGATGATTGCCTTAGAGGAAAGGTACATTTACCATTTTTTTATTTTGTTTTTATTTTTTAGTACCTTAGCTAACTTTTAGTTTTCTGCGATTTTAAATTCGTCTCTCCGATTTATTCATTAGCGCGTGTTAGACTTGAAATTGATAATAGCCAAATGGCGCCCTTAGTATAATTACCAACAGTAGGCATCCAGAGTTGTCGTGTCTTTAAATGAATTTCTGTCGCTTCTTAAGAAAACGAGGCCTCGGTTGTTAAATAGATAGCAGGCAGAACGCAAAGCATATTGTGGAATAATTGATGAGATACAGTCATCCCAAAGAGCCTTTCTGTCAGTTTATGCTTGCATCCAATCCCAAGACTATACAGCTATTTCAATTTACTTTGTCGGATCAAAGCCTCAAGCCTACAAGACAAGACCGAAGGGGAATATGGGATCTTAATGAATAATTATCAGCAAAATTAACAATGCCTCGTCCATACAGCGAAGATCTCCAATGGTGAGCCATTTGGATGAAAGAAATGTTGGGGTTTCAAGTGGATGAGGTTGGAGGTGGGAGGTCAACCCCGAAAGCCTAAAATTAATTCTAATCTACCCATACCGCCTTTCGGTCTTGTCCCGTACCCTTGAAGCTTTGATCCGACAACGTAAATTGAAATAGCTGTATAATAATAACGAAAATATTCGCTAAATTTAAAGCTGCACGCAAACACGGGAAAGAAGAGAGAAAAAGGGAGGTGAATAAGCGCTATTCAAACGTTTAATGATTTTTTCAGCTCTGTGAGAAGAGATGCTCTAAATCATAATTGACTTTAACCGGAGACTTCTTTCTTATGCGCACAAGTGAGCCATTAAAAAGCCGAATCACCACTAAAGTTCACCTTTAATTTAAAAGTCCTGTTTCATATTTTTTTCAAAGGCTTTGCATTTGGCATACAAAACTTGAGTATAGAAGAAATGTCTTCGAGGGATATTATCTACAATCAATTTTCGAGCAAGATCGTTGTTATCAAAAATTTATGAACCTTTCTATAGTTGCAAAGAATTAATTATCTTTGCGAAACCAAAATTTAAGCTTTTGTTGCTGTGATGTTGCACTGAATCGGTAGTTCATAGTCAGGTTTATGATGGTTTGGTCTGGGACGAATAAATTTTAAGGTTAGTTTAAAAAAAAAAACACACTCATACACGCACACTTGCAAATAAAAGTCTACCCTTAGTTGTTACATTGTTTCTTTTTAAATTGCACCATATGCCATAATGTTATGCGGCAACAGTTCATAAATAGACATTAAATCGCCGGGAGCGCGTAAACAAGTATAGATCAGAAATTCGCATTGAACCCATTCGCAAAACACATTCATTTAATCGTATTAAATAGATCCTGATGAAGGAGGAAGATCTGATCTCTTGAACTACCAAAAGGATAGTCCAACAGCCATAGCCTTGTCCATCACAATGGACAAGGACGATGGACAATGGATACACAGCTTCTTATTTGAAAGTAAGGGCAAGGACGTCCAAAGAATGTATTCCTTTCTTTAATTTTATTTGGTTAATTTAGTAAGTCTGTTCCACCAGAGATTCATTTTATCGATCAAAAGGAATACAATTACTTGTGGGGCGAGACAGCACCAAAGCTGGGGTTTTGACAAGTATGTCTCTCTCACAAGCAAACCCATACTGATATAAGCTTCACCCCAAAGCATTTGCAAGAGTTACCAATGTAAAAAAAATAATGGTCTATATTGTGCAAGGGTGGTAGGAATGGGTGCGTCCCTCACCTTTCGTAACTTTCTGCTTCCCTGTTGATAAAAAAAAATAATAATAAAAAATAGAAAGTTTGAATTTTACCTAATTGTACTCTGAATTTCAACAGCTGAACCTCACCTACCTCTTTTAATGCACATTATATCAACTACTGTTTCATAGCTCACATTTTCTTCAATATCTTCGAGACCTATTGAACAATTTCGCTCAAATTTTACGAGAATAATTTACTTAGGGCAATTAAACAGTTATTTGAGTTCGTGGTACTAAGTCAAAGTCCCCAGAGAGAAATATGCTGAAGCAGAGCATGACATCCCCTCTATTCTTGTACGTCAGATGGTTTGATGATCAAGTCAACTCATGCTGTGAAAGCTTGGACGCCGTCGTTTATATACCCCCTAAGGAATAACTTAAGAACACAAAAAATAGCTTATGGCAATGAGTTACAATGAGTAATTAGCACTACTGCACTTCAAACAACACCGTTCCTTCTGTTATAATTTCCATACTCGACGATTTTTGTATTTATTCATTTTATTTTTTGTGGTGTCTAGACAGTGAAACACTACCCAATACGAGTCGCACATCGATGAACTGTACAAAAACTACCTCATCACGTTTAGAATACTTTGAAAATGGTGATGTGAATCAAAAGCGTCGAAAATAAATTACAAATAAAAAATAACCCCACCCCCGCGATAAGTGGGTTTGTACTGATTGCGCTCGGCAACTTTTGAACAACTTTGGGCATTAGGAGCAACTTTTTGCTGCTATAGCAACTTCGAACAATTTTTGCTTATCAGAGCAGTCTTTTAACAAAATATTGGTTTAGAGCACAATCATATCAAGCGTAAAAAAGTCAACGATTTTATGAGAAACTATCACATAACCTGTCACTTGACATTGGCACGCCTATCGCGATCTATATATCTAATATCATAACGGATAATTGGCTGAGATGATGTTTGGCAAGACTTCAAATAAACCGTGTGTTTTGCTCCATCAGACTTGTGTATCCCTTAATTTTGCCCATATTTGCAAAGTTTCAAGCGATTTTTGTTTTCTTGACCGATGTTGAAAATTATCGTCAAACGACGAAAAATAAAGCTTGTTTGATAAATAACCAACCAACAGCCAATTGTTACAATTTGGCATGTACACATTTCGAAATTGTGCGATATTTCATATTCTGCTAGACTGCATAACTCACTTTGTCCCTAATATCTCCAGAAACCACCAAATTCTCGCCAAAAGTAAAACGTCCATGATTGACATGCAAGGGAATGATTTTAAACAGCAACTAGAAATAATCCCTAAGCTCTTCTTTATTATATTCAAGCTGTTAAAATGGGCACGATATTTCCTCTCCAGCTTGTCAATACTCACTCGGGGGCTAATTAACAATGCCAGAGCAGTAATGTAAAGACTTGGACCCTGTCGGTTGGGCGACATCTAAGTATTTTAACATTCTACGCAACGGGAACCATTTCTCTGTGTGACAGAGATTTGTTTTATCATGTTTAGTCTTTAAAAGTCTCCAAAAAACCTCGAGAATGAAATTCTGCTGTCTACCTCTACGCTGCCTATTCTTTGTAGCCGTTCTCTTTTGGGGAGTGACTTTCACGCTCCAAGGTAAGAGACTAACTTCACTGCATTGTATTCGCTTGCATATTTTCAAGCTTTTTCTTCCTATATCTTTATTCTATCTTTTATGTTTCGCTATTCACGAGATTCATCACAAAGCGCCTCTTAGCTTATCAGGCGTTTAAATTTCCGTAGATATTGCTTAAGCTTAATCTTCGAGAACATCAAATAAATAGCGAATATATTTTGAAAAACTTTCCACTATCAAGATACGCTTCTGATCTGACGAAAATGTGTTTATGGGTAAGCTATATTGGTCTTTGTTGAGATACGAAAAGTAAAATATAAAACAGAATACCTCTATGGTTAAACACAAAGCGGCCGCACATTTTTTTCCTTTTTATTTCGTCCCTTCTTGCGGAAATACAAGCAGCTCACTGGTTGGATACACATTTCAGAGTTAATTGAACGTACTAATCAGAATTGCACTCATACATCAGCGACCTGCTTAAAAGAAAACCATGAAAGTTGTAAGGACGGTTTACACTCTGGTAACTGCTTTGTGAAAAGGTAAGCTAAAAGTCCGCGTGCTTCTGTTGTTTCGAGTGTGCGCTCCCCTGAACTTCGGTAAAATTTCGTTTTGACATTAAAATAAAACAAAAACAGGAAGGAGAAACTTGTCGTTTTCGCTATTGTCAGATAGAGCCAACGATTACCATATTTAATAATGTTTCACAATCGTTTTTTTCAAATGTAAGATGAGAGAGTTGTGTTATTTTCGTTCTTTTCCCTCTCTCTCTATGAGACACAAATTCCAATCTGTTCCCTTACTAACGTTTTTGGGCATTTTTTTCAATAAGGGATGGGTCGCTCTGGAGCGAATTCAACTATTCACTTATTTTTCGCGAGCCAAATATTGGCAAAATAATTTGCAATTTCCTATTTTTGGCGGGGGTCGCATTGAACTAGTATCCTCTAACCAAAACTTCATTGATTGACGCATGCGTCAATCACAAACCCATCTCCCTCTATTAAAAGATAAAGAAAAATTCTCGCTCGAATTACTGGGCAAGAATGGATTGTTGTCGAATGATTATCTCTGCATTTTCGGGTTTTTGTGGAATTTTGCATTTCTTCCTCAGCAAAACAAAGAAGCGTTTTTTACATTGTTGGCACAATATCAGCAGGTTTTTAAGCGGCTAGCGTCAGCTTTTAGACGTAGAAGACGAAGACCTCGCTTAAATAGAGCTCGCTTTCTAAATCTTCCCTGGTCGAGGTCTCCTCGTCCAGCGGAGTCACGGTTCGAGATTAAGATTATATATCGTATTTCACTTTCTTTTTTCCTTGCCGATCTTTTTGGTTGAAGCTTGCACCGCTTGTGCTGGTTTCGATAATTCCAGTGGAAGGAGAAGTACTCGTTGAAGCCGATTGTTCTGCAAATTGCCGCCAATGACCGGGCCCAGGGTACGTGTCAGACATTCGTTAAAATTCCTCATTCCGCTCAAACGAAAACTGAGGGTCAGATGGACAACGAAAAAAAATTGTATCGTTCCATCGCAAGCGGCAGATCACACTAGCGGACCACAGTGTATTTTTCCCGCTAAAAGTTTATGTAGACAACTCTCGCGGACGATGACAGCTAAATGGTTTAAAAAACAAGATTGTTTGGAGCCGATGTCCGTGGCAGGACATCGGCTCCTATGAAGGCTGGCGAAATCTTGGCGATCCGCAAAAATTTGGCAAGGTTTTTAAAATTGGGGATCGCATTTATTTTACGCTACTTGTTACCATATTTTTTTTGGCTAAAACAAACAAAAAAAAGCTCTGTGTGACCCAAGCCTAAGTACATAATTTACGAAACTCCTCATTATGTTATTTCTTCTCTATGTTGATATCCTGGGATTAGTTTTGAATGTTGAGACCATTTTTTTGCGAGGATAGAACTATTCTTCAACGAGAATCGACACCTCAGGTGCCATGCTGAACGGCCGGTTTCCGGGTGAGTTTAGAGCTATTTCATTTGGCGGGAATGATTTTGGGATTGAGGGGGTGTAGTTTGGATTGAAAATGCAGGTTGTCGCGGCTTGAGTCCAGTCCCACCAAAATGTTTAATTTGGGTTGATGGTCAACTGATCTTGACACTTTTTTATCTTAAAAGTCCATCACTGGATTACCAGTGCTAAATCTTAATGGGAATTGCTTTGAGCGTTGTCTAAAACATAGCCTTTGCAGAGAAGGTTGTTTGTGCCGAACCGTTGGTTTATTCAAATTTATGTTCAGGTACATTTGTTTCACTTGCGAAACCTCTCAACATCCTAGCCTGTAGTTTTGATTTCCAGTTTCTTAGTCTTGAATATTTTCGAGAACTCGCCATTTTATCTCGGCTGGAGGGATTAGTCATGGTTGTTTGTGGCTAGTTATGCAGGTTCGGATCAGGCTAACTCACGAAAAAAAAAGAAAACAAACAAACATCGAATAAAGCTGAGAAAGACTGTAGATTCAAATATTTTCGATCACTAATTTGATTTATTATAGTTTCCATCTAGGGAATGGAGCAAGCTATAATATTTGTTTTCTAGGAAAATTGAAGTAAAAACTAGAAATTACTGCATTTGATCCAAACTGCATGACAAACATAAACATGCATGCAAACAAAGACGCAATTTACCTAAGATTTCTTTAGAATTTCTTCTTCATTTCTGAGGAAATGATCCAAAATCGGTTAGTTTCTTTGTTTACCTAGTCGTGTGGTTGTTGATGGTGCTGTTTGACATTTTTGATGTTTTGAAATGTTTGCTTGCTCTAAAAATAAATTAAAACAAAAATACCAGGAGTAACTTGAGGGATCAAACTATGCAAATGAATCGTGGCAGTATCCATGGTAATGATACTGACAGCTGTACATAAGTCAAATAAAAACCGAGAGAGTGATTCATTGAATTTGAAGTGAAGTGAAAAGATACTTGTCAGCTGAAATTGATAAAATCTAGGTCAATAATTAACAATTACTTACCGACACTTAGGTGCATAGTTGTTTTATTATATACTCTTTTATTTCTGTCAGTATACTGAAAATGGTCGCAAATTAAACTCTTAGTTAAAGAGCGAAGCGTCCCCTCGGTTGCTCAAAGGTGCATAGGACTTGATAATCAATACCGGAGAAGCCGATCACCGCGTAGATAGTAATACAAGCTCTGACCAAATCTAACTAAGTCTATTCAGGACTACAATCACCCTTCATATTGCATTAAGGCGGCCTCGTACAGTTTTAAATACTCATAAATCACTGCACATACTTTGATCAATTATATCGCCTTCTACCATCTACTTGCGGCTTCGTTGCAGAATATTAGCAGATCAACATAGATTTGAGTTAACATGTAATGTCAGTTCATTTTAGGGTCACTAAAATGTATCCAAGATGGACACCTATTTTCTGAACAGAGCGGAGTAAACTTCAGGAACTGTCAGACAATAAGATTCGGCCATCGAACGATTATACTGCGAAAATGAAAACCTTGTTTTTAATGCGCTGGTTGTTGTTCTTCTTGCTTGGGATAATTGGTCTCATTACGGTGTAGTTGCGACCCACGGTAAGGAAACTCCATTTTAACACCATAACTCTAATTTCTACAACGTTTTTTTTTTTTCAAAATTTAAATCACCTCCTTTTAGACTGATTATTCACAAAAACGTACAAAAAAGGTCTAACATTTTCCACAAAATTCCATAAATTGGAGATATAAAGCTAGACTTTTCTAGATTCCTAAACAAGAAAACGCCTTGAGAGCATCTCCATCCATTTTGTAATTGTGAATGCACATGGTACTAAAAAAAATATATAACTCGAGACATATTTACATACTTTTCAATGAGCAATTTTATTTATCATGCCTTTCAGACGTGTGCGGACGTCATGTGAAATATACTGCTGTCATTAGGGGCTATGCTCTTTATGGTCACGTGATTCAGAACCTTACGCTTTCGGTTGATATACCAGACCCCTGCAGAACTCAGTGTGTTATGGAAAGTCGCTGCGCAGCAATTGATATTGGCCAACACTTCGGCGATCACATCATATGTGAACTAAGTGATTCAGACGGAACTGAATACCCCCAAGATCTCAAGCCTCGGAATGATTTTATTTACATTGGTACTGAGGTAAGAGAGTGGATAAAACAAAGACGGGATATTAAATTTCTTTTTCATTTTTTTTTTCTTTTCAAGAAAGAATTTTTTGTTTCCCCAATAAGAACCGATGCAGTAATAACCCATGCCTTAACAATGGGACTTGCCTTAGTGGGTATACCAAGAAAGGCCACATTTGTCTCTGCGGATCTCTCTACAATGGAGAAAACTGTGAAACAGGTAACATATACATTTTATGTTGGATATCCCAGAAATATAAGATTATCCAGTACAGTCGAATATACCAAATTTCTTTAATTTGTTAGAATTGACTGGCTGAATAACTTTTTGAGCGACTGAACAATGATTTAATGATAGTAGTTTCAAGATGTTACGTTACATTACGTCACGTCACGTTTGTTACGGTACGTAACGTTATGTTATATTACGTTGCGTCGTTTCGTTTGGGTTTCTTTTCTTTTCTTTTCTTTTCTTTCTCTTGCTTGCTTGCTTTTTTGTGTGTTTTATTTTTTGTTTTTGTTTTATTTTTGTTAAAAAAATAAAAATTAAAATAAAATATGTCATTCACATGCTGCGAGGAATTTTACATAGCTGAACATCTTGTGGCGTGCAACTCCAGCGAATGGACGCTGATAATAAAGATGGACGGCAGTAAGGTACAAACTCGCTTTCAACTGTTTATTTTTCGTCTATTTATCTAGCTGTTAATGAATGATATCCGTTCAAATATTCATTCTCACGTACCCATTTATTTATCTACTGCTGTCAATTATCGATGGTCATTCAAATATTCATTCTTATGTATCCATTTATCTACATGTAATAAGTCGAGTATCTCTTAATCTATATATCATTCTATTTCTTTTGCGAAGAAAATTGCGTGAAATTGCCTATCATTGTGTCCACATCTTTCCTCCTATTTTGGCTCAGAAATATATAATGTTCGTTTCGTCGATTGCAACACCCTACGTCAGAAGGATCTCAATATATTCGCGAAGTATATTGTTTTAAAACAGCAGAGAAAAGGATTTTAAATTCAGATAACATTACACGTTACACCTGTTTATGAGTATATCAAATAATAAATTCAAACATTCAGTAAAATTTATTTCTTGTTTTTTGACCTAATCGAAAAATGCGAAAAATTAGCTTATTTGAGGCAACTGATTTGATTTCCCAGTCTTTTTCTTCTTTTTAGTTCTAAAAAAGTCAAAGGATGCTAGTTATTTGATAAAAGATTTACTAAATTGGATATGTTGTGTATTCTGAGTTGAAATGATATTAGCTACCGTTCATTTGTTTCTCCTGGATGCTATGACCCTAGGACACGTTTTCCTATGATTCTGTTCTGTGGACCAATAAGGATACTTTTAACCTTCCCGGAGGAAAAACTGGGCTCGACACACAAGAAACTAAGCTACCAACTTACTGGGAGAAAGCTTTCTCTAAGATCTGCCTTGGTATGAGGATCGGAAGTCACACCAATTTCATAGTCATTCACATGGAGGCAACTTCCCTTTATTCACTTATCGCTGACGGGCAGTATCGTGCCATTTCGCTTGGTCGTGATAAATGGAAGTCGTTGATTGGTGCAGACTCATCCCTGCAGCTTAACTGCAACAAAGAGGGTTTCAATTCACAGGGCTATCCCATGCACTTTAAAGCAAGGATTGGTATTATTGGTAACGAGCAATCTAATTGCGAAAGTACTGATTCCAGAATCGGTTTTGGTACAGGAGGCAGCCCTGACAAATCCATCACGTGTGGCAACGTGGCTAGTTTTGGACCAGATAATGGAAACAGATATCTTAAGGCAATGGGATATATCATGGTACAGTGACAAGGAAACTGGTACAATAACTTAATAACAATTTCTTATTTTTCAGTACAGCTACAAATCGTCTATTGAAGACCGCTTTTGTGGCAAAATTGTTTCAACACAAAGTAATCATCAATGAAAAGAAAAGGTGAGAGGGAGAAATGCATAAATACATTCCCCACAAAACTTAGAATGGAAAGAAATGATAACAAGTAGGAATGGTGTGACCATCCATCTCAAAAGATCGTTATTTCCCCCATATTTACAAAGGTTGCGTAAGTGTACAAACCATGTTGGATTGTTTGAACAGCGGCAGTTACTCATAAAGAAATAGCTCACTCGTTTGTACCCAATTCCTGTTAATTTCAATGAGTTGTCCATACGTTTTTTCTCAAGTAAAACAATACAGACTACCATGCATTTTTAATTGGACATTTCATGTTTACGGTAAATGCCAATAACACGAGCAAATTATGATTTTTCCCAAAATCGTTAGACCAACCCTGTAAAAAGTAATAAAAATGATGATGATAATAGCGATAATAGTAATGATAGTAATAATTATGATGATGATACTAATAACATCAATGATGATAATAAATATCATTATTATGATAATAGTAATGATGATGATGACAGCAAATAAAAAAAAGACGCCTAAAAGCAGCAGGCATTGCATTTGATTTTTACTTTTTTTGTTGTTTTTGTTGTTGTTGTTGTTGCTAACGTTATTATCATCATTCACGTACAATGCCTGACTGAGGTAAAGAGACAAAATTCTACGATTATCAGGTTTCTTATCATCAACAAAACAACCCTATAGAAAAATCGATCAATTTAAGAATTACTGGGTCCTTCTCTTGTGATTTGCCCAGTTTTTTAAAAACTGTGTCCTCTTCGACCTGCCATCAAACTCACAACGAGCGCTATTGACAGACATTACATGAATTATCCCTGTACGAGTCAATAAACACGTTATCTTCAGGAATTGCATAATCTGCTTTGCCAGTCGCACCGTGAGACACACTGCTCGCCGCCTATTGTTTAGTCTGTCATTTTAACGTGCACGTGTTTCAACCTTAGTACACTGTTTTCCCATAGGGGGTCACATATGGCAAATGTATCATTAAGTTTAGCACTGACTGCGTGGATTTCCAAAAAAATCAAAGTGCTCTGTGAGCAAACTCGTGAATTGACAGATAACTTACATGATTTTTTTTTGATTATGTTCAATGTTATCTGGTTTAGGGAATTTTGTGTTTGGTTGTCATATTTAGAGTACGAGAAGTAGTTCAGTGTTCGCTAATGTAGCAAAGAAACAAAGTAACGTTGGGATAAGAAGGCATTACAAATGAAATGATCACGCTATCACATTTTACAAGGGTGAATGATGTCATGTGTTTTAAACATATATCATTTTTGTTTCTGGTTCAAAAGAAAAGGTTGGAAGTAAATGTGGGTGAAAAGTGAAATTTACTGTCTATCATTGTAAATATTGGAAAATAAAGGCAA